CTACCCATCCAACACATACAAACACACACTCCAAACTGAACTTAATTCCAAACTGGAGACTTCCACTCTGTTATGGCAGAGATGGGCTCAGAAAACTTCCCTGAGGAAAATGATCTCAACCAGGGGCAGGTGGCATCGGAGAGAATTCCTTCAACCGAAGAGTCATTCCTCCTTTGAGAAAAAAACAGAGAGGGGAGGCAGGGGCGAAGTCACAAATGTGGCCTTAGTGGAAACCACCTTCCCTTGCCATTGAAATAGGGACACAGGAATAGATCCCCCTTACCGCAGTCCCTGATTTTTGTTGAGACTTACTGTATGGTCCTGTCTATGGCCAATTTTGAAAAAATGCTTTATATATGCTTGAATATAATGTGCCATCTCTAGTTGTTTGGGACATCATTTACTATTTGTCCTTTGTTGTTTTGATAAATCACTCCTTTATTTTTTTAATTATACTTTATTGATTATGCTATTACAGTTGTCCCAGTTCTTCTCTCTTTGCCTCCCTCTACCAAACATCCCCTAGTTCTTCAGGCAATCCCCACACGATTGTTCATATCCATGGGTCATGCATAGGTTCTTTGGCTATTCCATTCCCTATACTGCACTTTATATCCCCATGGCTACTCTGTAACTACCTATTTGTATTTCTTAATGCCCTCACCTCTTCACCCACTCCCCCATCCCCCCTTTGCATCTGGCAACCGTCGAAATACGCTCCATATCCATGATTTTGTCTCTCTTCTTCTTTGCCTAGTTTGTTTTTTAGATTCAGTTGTTGATACATATGTGTTTATTACCATTGTATTGTTCATAGTTTTGATCTTCTACTTTTTCTTAAGTAAGTCCCTTTAACATTTCATATAATAATGGTTTGGTGATGATGAACTCCTTTAGTTTTTTCCTTGTCTGGGAAGCTCTTTATTTGTTTTTCAATACTAAATGATTATCTTTGCTAGGTAGAGCAATCTTGGCTTTGAGTTCCTGCTTTTCATGACTTTGAATATTCCTTGCCAATTCCTTCTACCCTGCAAAGTTTCTTTTGAGAAATCAGCTGACAGTCTTATTGGAACTCCCCTGTAGGTAACTAATGCTTTTTTCTTGCTGCTTTTAAGGTTCTCTCTTTACCTTTAATCTTTGGCATTTTAATTATGAAGTGTCTTGGAGTGGGCCTCTTAGCATCTTCTTGTTTGGGACTCTTTGTGCTTTTTGGTTTGCATGTCTATGTTCTTCACCAAATTAGGGAAGTTTTTTTTTTCATTATTTTTTTCAGATAGATTTCTAATTTCTTGCTCTTTCTCTTCCCTTTCTGGAACCCCTATGATGCAAATGTTGGACCTTTTGAAGTTGTTCCGGAGGCTGCTTATACTATACTCATTTTTTTTGGATTCTCTTTCATTTTGTTGTTCTGCGTGGTGTTTTGTTTTGCTTCCTTATGTTCCAAATCATTGATCTAATTCTTGATTTAATCTACTCTACTGTTGTTTCTGTGTAAATTGTTCTTTATTTTAATTAGTGTATCCTTCACTTCTGACTAGATCTTTTTTATGCTGTTGAGGTCCTCACTAAGTTCCTTGAGCATCCTTATAAACAGTGTTTTGAACTCTGCATCTGATAGATTGCTTATCTCCATTTCATTTAGTTCTTTTCCTGGAGTTTTGATTTGTCCTTTCATTTGAGCCATGTTTCTTTGTCTCCTCATTTTGGCAGCCTTGCTGTGTTTGCTTCTGTGTAATAGGTAGAGCTGCTACAACTCCCTGTTTTGGTAGCATGCCTAATGTAGAAGGTATCCTGTAGGGTCCAGTGGCACAGCCTCCCCTGTTGCACAAGATGGGTACTCAAGGTGCACCCTTCTTGTGGGCTGAGTATACCCCTCTTCTGTGGTTGAGACTTGATGGCTTTTGGCAGGTCAATGGGAGGGATTTATCCAGGTCAGTCAGTTGTAAGGACTGACTGTGACCACTGACCACCAACCTCTGCCCTCCATGGAGGATCGGCTGTGTGGGGATAGGGTGGTGGTGCTGCAATATGGTCTGTACCTGTCCACTGGGTGTGCAGTCTCTGGAGTTTCCCCAGTGGTGCAGGCCAAGACCAGCCCCCACCTGTGTTTTGCCCAGGGCCACCCTGCCTGAGCTATAAAGCAATCTGAGATGGCTGCTTCTTGTCCTGGGCTCGGAGATTCCCAGGTGAAGCCAAGCTGTGAATCTAAGCTGGTTGCTGCTAGTACCAGGACTGGGGCCACTTAGCAAGAGATACTGGGACAGTGGTCTCACTGAGGCTGGCTGTTGCTTGTTTGAGAGGATTTAGGAAGTTGTGAAACATGAGCTAAGACCAGCCATCCATATGGAAAAGCAGCTTGGGTGGGCTCCAAAGTTAGGTGGGACAGAATCTTGGGTTATCTCCAGGGAGGGGCAAACAGTGGTAGCCAGTTTGATGGAGTCTTAGATATGGCACCAGCCTACTAGCTCTGTGACTCTGTGGGGGGAGTGTTCAGAAAAGGGACAATGGCCTCTACTTGCCTTTCTGTCCCCCAGCCCTCACCTTGATACTAGACACCAGATTCTCCCTGTATGCCACTGGTGCTATTCAAGCTGCTACCCTGGTGCTGTAGCTCAGAAGGAGTGAGTCTGAGTGAGTCCATGTATGGGTTTGTTAAGAGGAACTGCTTGGAACTCTAGAAGCTTCTTCCACCAATTCAATCCAGCTATTTTTTGCAGCTAAAAGTTATAGGGACTTATCTTCCTGGTACTGGTACCCTGTGCTGGGGGGCCTGGTGTGGGACTGGGACTCCTTGCTTCTGAGATACCCCTCCTTAATTTTCATCTACCACATGTGGATGTGGGACCATCCTGTTTCATGTCTCCTCCCCTCCTACCAGTCTGGATGGATGTGGTTTCTTTAATTCTGTAGTTGTCAGACTTCCATTCAACTCGATTTCTGACGGTTCTGAGTGAAGTTGTTCTATATTTTAGTTGTAATTTTGATGTGGTTGTGTCTGGAGGCAAGCTGTGTTTCCCAGTGCTGCCCTCTTGACCTGAAGTCCATGTAAAATCACTTGGCCTGATATTTCCTCTGTGGAAAAAAAATTAAATTATGATTCAATTTTTTATAGGATTATTTAGATCATTTTAAAATTAGTTTTCTGTCTTTAGTGATAGTGTGTACATTTGTGTGTGTGCATAGCTGTTTTAATCGTCTGATCAACACACCTACTTCATTGTATGGAATATTTCATTTTATCTTTTGAACACTTCATATTTTAATCATTGTCATAATTTTTATACATCTCTCTTGATAACATCAAAGAACTAGATTTCTTTTATTCCATTATTTAAATTTTTGATTTTGAGTAGTTGAATTTAATGCATTTATAATTATTATAATTACTGGTATAAAGGTGTGTGTGTACTTACTTTCCTGTTTTATGTTGTCCAAGACCACAGAGTAATAGAAGGTTAATGAGAATCTCAGTCTTACCACCTACTTGTGGCCTGACTCATTCTATATTTATAAAGTGGTTTATGTGTGTGTGTGTATTGGAGTATGTCCAGGACAGAGAGGGATCACCTGACAGTTGTGTGGAGATTAGGGGTCTTGTGCTTCTGTCCATTTTCTTATCTGAAGTTTGGTGGGGTCTTCTCAGTCTCCAGAGAGTGCTGAGCACACTCCCGAGCATGGGTAATCAGGCAGTCTCCAAGCTCCCCAGAGCCAGGACTTGTTTGTGGACTGTGACCCATTATTCCTTCTATCCTGCACTTTGAGAAGGCAAACCGGCAATCAAATGGTAATTGTTTCCTTCTGTGTGGATTTCTCATTCCAGAGACTGCCATGGTGAGTAGGAAATTGGCTCTTAGAAGAGTAAAGGGACCTGGGATTAGACGTCAGGCCTGCAGTGTAACTGTGGATGGGGTGGCCCTACGGCCCACGTTTTCCATCTGTTGGCCTTATAAACAGTTCCAGTGCCCTAGAAATTCTGCCATCTAAACCATACTTTCTAAAGCGTTTCTTACTGCTGAAAGAAGCTCAGAAATCCTTTATTAGGTTGTGTTGCCCCAGTTTTGGTTTGAAAAATATATCACTGTACTTAAACAAAAAAGCATAAGACTTTTTTTTTAAACAGTGGAGTTTAAAAAGGGAAAAACTGTCCTATTTGGGACATACCAAATTAGAAAGGGCTGACCCAATATCCCAGATTTCTGAGGAAGTCTAAGCACTCTTCCCCTTAGCTGTTCATCCAGGCATCTGTGCAGACATTCAGCCCCACTCCCCGTCAACAGCTGCTGGGCAGGGGCATGGCGCTAGGAACCCAGCTGACTGTGGCAGGGACTCCCCGCTCAGAGACTTCCTGTCCATCATGGAGAGATGCGATGTGGGTACACAGAGTGATTAATACAGGTTAAAATGTGAATACATCAGCGGATACAGTTTTCCAACTTGTGAAGATCCAGAAAGCAAGTCCGATTCACTGAACCCCCACTGGCACGGACACAGCGTCACTCCTGCTGCATCCTCCTGATCAGGGCACCTCACTGGGGCAGCCCAGAGCCAGGAACCTCCTGGGGGTGGAAGGGCAGGAGCGCACATGGAGGGATGGGAGGACTGTTTGGTGGTTGTACGTGCAGACAGCCTACCTCAGTAATTTAAATGAAAACAAGAGTTTTAATCTAAAAGCTGAAGGATGGTATTTCATTGTTTTAGCTAGCATGTCTTTGGCTAGCATGTCTTAGCAGTGAGGGCTGGCTGTGTTTTCTCAGGTGTCTGATGGTGTGAGGTTCATATGTTAGCCCCAATGGGCAGTTATCTGCCTCTGACAGGTCTCTTCCTATCACACCCAGTCCCAGATTGAAAATGGTTTCTGCAGAGTTTACTTTGTAAGTGATTCTGCCGAGACTTCTTATCCATCCCTTCCCCGCCCCCTTTCACTACCTTTGCTCTTTACCAGTTCCCTGCCCATGATGTCTGCCCTTCTTACCAAGATTCCCACCTCTCTCTTGTTTTAGGTACGAAAACGGGTGCAGATATTAGTGACAGTACCTGTGATCCTGGATTGACCTCGCCGGCCTCCTACTTGAATCCCTTCCCAGTGCTCCATCTCGTTGAGGACCTGAGGCTGGCCCTGGAGATGCTGGAGCATCCTCAGGAGAGAGCAGCGCTCCTGAGCCAGATCCCGGGCCCCACAGCTGCCTACATAAAGGAGTGGTTCGCAGAGAGCTTGGTGAGTAGGCCCGTGGCCTATTTGGGGAGCCACTGGGGAACATAACCACAGAGTCCAAGAAATGCCACCACTGTCTGGGCATGTCACTTCATCTGTGCACCTTCCTGTCTTTGATTGCTTCCAGTGCAGCTTTAGTCAGCTTCCACATGGTGGTCCTTCCCAGGGAGAGGGTAGGACCCAGTCAAACAGCTTATGCTACACAGTCAGCCTGCCTGTGCCCTCCAGCCCCTGTCCCGAGAAAGGGAAATCCCGGGCCAGAGAAGAGCAGATGTGGAAGGCTTTTTCCCCCAGGATTACATGGGCCACTTACTGAGCTATAATCCCTAGATGGTGTGTCTAACCTTGGCTGAACCCCCCCTTTTTCCTCACAACAGACAAGACCTTTGTCACCTCATTCATTCCTCTGCTGTTGCCCCATTCTTCAGACCTCCTTGTGCTGGAAATGCTTCTCGTCCCTAGAGTGAATGCAGGTTCCTTACTCTCCTCCTCCTCGTCATAGATCGAGCCCGCACACCTGCTAGTTTCTAAGGGCCACGAATGAGTAACCACAGCTGTAAGGACGTGGCTTTGGTTACTCATCTCCCTCCCTGTGGAGGCCAGCTGGTCAACATTAAGAGACTAGTAGCGTCTGGAAGTGGGTCAGGTGAGAAGCTAGCCCACTGAGGCATCGATCTGGAGTGAAATCACTCCAGGGCTGGAGGGAGGAACCTGGAAGCCAGAGGAAGCATATGATTACCTACACTGAGGTGGAGGGTGGAAGCTGGGATGCAGTCTTCTAAAGCTAGAGGCCTGCAAACCGGAGTCAAAATCGGAAAGTACACACACTTGAGGAAGGCAGGAATGAGACCACTGGATGGGGAGGGAGGGCTTGATGATGGAAACCACAGACCCAGGAGGGTGAGGTGCCACTGTCCAGAGCCATGTCATTTGTCACAGGGTCCATCCCAGATGTCCTCACCTGCTTTCTGTTCAAGAGGCCTCTGTCAATAGTCTTATCCCCATGCCTTTCTCTGAACACTGAAGCGTTCATTCGTGCTCATAATGTAACTTGTTATATGTGTTATTCAGTATTTTGATTACATAGGCCGGGGGTGTCAAACTCATTTTCACGGGGGGCCACATCAGCCTTGTGGTTGCCTACAGGGGCCGAATGTAATTTTAGGTCTGTGTAAATGTAACTACTTGTTAATAGTTAAGTGAGAGCTCAGCGCTGCCGCTGGGTAGAAACAAGGTGCCAGGCCAGATAAAACAAGGTGGAGGGCCGGATTCAGCCCTCAGGCCTTGCATTTGCCACCTGTGACGTAGGCTCTCTGCCTGGTATTCTGTATGTGCATAATACATGTGGTAGGGAGAAAGGTGTCTACATACTAATTGCCAGAACCTGTGAATATGTTATGTTACATAGCGAAGGGGAAGGTAGTGAGTGGAGTTAAGGTTGCTAATCAGCTGAGTTTAAAATGGGGTGAGTAACCAGGATCATCCAGGCCAGATGTACTCACCCTACTCACCCGAGCCCTTGTAAGTGGGAAGGAGAGGCGGAGTCGGTGCAGAGTGACGTGATTCAGCCCCTCTGCTGTTGGCTTAAAGATGGAAAGAGGCCAAGGGCTGAGGGATGGAGGCAGCTGCTTGGAGCTGGGAAGGGGGACCCTCCCCTAAAGCCCCCAGGAGGAACAGCCCTGCCAACACCTGGATTTTAGCCCAGTGAGACCCATTTTGACTCCTGACTCCCAGACCTGTAAGATAATGCTTTGTGTTGCTATAAGCCATGTAGTTTGTGGTAACTTGTTAACTTGGGTGCAGATGTGTTTTCGAACTCAGAACTATTAAACTGTGGAAAGGTGAGACAGTGGTATATGATGTATACTGTCTCTAGCAGGTACAGGGCAGGAAACACATGAACAGTTCTTTGGAAAACTTGCGAGCACCCACATGAAGTGGAATGAAGAAAGACTATACTTATTCTCCTGCCAGTTCAGGAGAATATGCTCCGATATGCTGCCAGTTAAGTTTGGCACCAACATTATTTTTTTTTTAATATTTTATTTATTTATTTTTTAGAGAGGGAAGGGAGGGAGAAAGAGAGAGAGAAACATCAATGTGCGGTTGCTGGGGGTCGTGGCCTGCAACCCAGGCATGTGCCCTGACTGGGAATCGAACCTGCGACACTTTGGTTCGCAGCCGGCGCTCAATCCACTGAGCTATGCCAGCCAGGGCTGCACCAACATAATTTTTAATAAAACAAACAAACTTGGTTTTCAGTTTTAGAATTGTAGGCAAGAGATAGTGGACTTACATGAAGAATATTCCAGTGCAGAAAGTGAAACATAAAACCAACTATTGGATATTGGATGTCACTATTCCCAATGTCCATCAGCCATAATCCCTCTCTGAGAGTCATTTGCTAACTCTCTGTCCTTGGGCTGGCCTGTCACCATGTGCTTGGGCCCCTTTGGTAACTCCCAGCTTTCTCCGCAGTTCCCTGAACATGTCATTAGGCTGCAGAGCAGTTTTGCACCTTTTTATTTTAAATGCCCCATCACAGCTCTGCTCAGGACCTTACCACACGTAACCAAGAGGTTCATTGGCGTGTCTTCCCCCGCAGACCCAGTCCACCCAGAGTACAGAGAAGAGCTGGTGTTTTATTCTTTACTGTTCAGCAACTATGTACTTTCACCTTGTACGGACACACCTGAATGTGTGACCGTGTCTCTAGTATTGGCATTTCAATTATTTTAATCGTTCTCAAATACATGGCATTGCTGGAGAGAATGTATTTGTCCAAAAATATTTTTCTTTCTGTCTAGGTGTTTCCTTAATGAAGAGTCCTGAAAGTGGAATTACAGAGTTGAAGTAGGCTTAACAGACAAAATACAGGATGCTCAGTTAAATTTGAATTTTAGACAAGCAACAAATAATTTTTAATAAATATGTCCTATGCACTTTGCTAAATCTGGGACTTCTGACCCAAAGGTATTAATATCTTTGGCACATTTTTTCAAACTACTTTTTAGAAAGATTTTATTCATTTATATTTTAATTAGGCTTCTGTGTATCCTGATAAACAATAATCACTAAAATTAAAAAAATAAAACAGCCTTACTAATTTCATAGGGAAATATCCTTTTATCATTGTTGCCTGGCTTTGTTTAGTAGGAAGATTAAGTGTTTTTTTCATTCACTTAGTATTTATTCTCTGAATGGTCTTAGAAGTGTTGATCTCATACCCCTATCTGAAAAAAGTTTATTTTTCGCATATACATATTCACCTATGCAGTAATGTCCTAATGTATGTAAATTATATTTTTGAGATTTTTAGAGGACAGGTTAAAAAATAGTTCCAATATTCTTTTTGGACATACCCCAGAGATCACTTTCAGTCCCCGATTGTATCTACCCTATCCTGGTTTTTTCAAATTCTATGCTTTTATTCTATTAGAATTTTAATGCTTTCTTCATGTAATAGGTTGGCCAAAAAGTTCATTTAGTTTTTTTCCATATGATAGTTCTAATAGTGCTTATTTGTCTATTAGTGCTTATTTAACTTCATTTGAAACAATTTTATTAGATTGTATTGTGACAGTTGCAATATCAGCATGCATTTTTTAAAAAGAACTTATCAAAAAAAAAAAAAAAAGCCCTGCCTGGCGTAGCTCAGTGGATTGAGCGCAAGCTGCGAACCAAAGCATCACAGGTTCGATTCCCAGTCAGAGCACATGCCTGGGTTGCAGGCCAGGTCCCCAGTGGGGGCCATGTGAGAGGCAACCACACATTGATTCTCTCTCTCTCTTTCTCCCTCCCATCCCCTCTCTAAAAATAAATAAATAAAATCTTTAAAAAAACTTATCAAAATTGGTTAATTTTTATGCAGCCATATTAATTTGAAGATGAAAGAATATATATAACACTTTTGGCATATTATGCTTTATTATTTTGAGAAAGGTAAAAATGCAACTGAAATGCAAAGAAGGATTTGTGCAGTATATGGAGAAGGTACTGTGACCAATCAAACATGTCGAAAATAGTTTGCAAAGTTTCTTGGTACTATTGACATTTTGGCCAAATAATTATTTGCTATGGGGCTGTCTTATGCATTGGAAGATGTTTAGCAGCACCCCTGGCCTCTACCCACTAGAAGTCAATAGCAGGAGATAGCTGACATACTCGAAATATTCAAATCAATAAAGTTATTAGTGAAAATGAAAAATGTGTCTTTTACTTTATGGAAAAAACTAAATGGATTTTTTTTTGGCCAACCCAATGTCTCAACGACCCTTATTATTGGCCCTTTGTTTTATTTGCAACATATATTTTCCTCCTGTTGTTTTTAAATGTTTTAAATGTTTATGGTGCTTTTTGAGAGCTGGGAATTTAAAAGGATTGTAGTAGTTCATTATCAGTCTTTCCTGTTTGGGTTTCCTTTTTATCTCTAGAAAAGCCTTTCCCAGCCTCCGGTCAAATAATATTCACCTTTATCTTCCTTCAGTAGGCTTATGGTTTGATTTGTATCTTATGGTTAACTCCAATTCATCTGCAATGTTTTTTACTGTGTCGTGAAATACAGATCTAACTTTTATAATTTACCCAAGAAGATTCAAAACTTCCTTTTTTTATTCAAAGGCAGTCAATGTAAGTTATTGGTTTTTGCAGGATTCATTGCAAAAACAGCTTGTGTTCAAATTTACGGATCTCTTTTGGGGTTATTTACCATGGTTAGGGAAATACCTTCCTTTGGAAAAATTTTCCTAAAAGTTGTGTTCATAAATCTTTTAGAGTAATTATGGCCATCAACGACCTATGCATGGTATACTTTTCTGGAGTCAAAAGTTCATATAAACATTCCATTATACCAGGGCTGAATGTTAATGTTTTGATTTTGGGCAGAGACAGCCTGTCTGTAGTTTAGGTCTTGGAGACTTGAAGGTATTTTACAATCTGGGTGCACTTACATTCCATAGTCAGTCTTATCTGTGTGGAAAGAGCATCGAAAGCAGCGAACAAAC